AGTAACAAGGGAGGGGGGGAGAAGAGAGTGACAAGGGAGGGGGGAGAGATTGACAACCATCACACACACACACAATGCACCCCTTACACACAAAGACAATGAACCCCTTGCACACAGAAAAACACACAATGCATTACACACACACACACACACACGCAATGCAACCCTTACACACAATGCATCACTTACACACAGAAACACACAATGCATTCCTTACACACACTCAATGCACCCCTTACAGACTCACACACTTCATCCCTTACATACACAGAAACACACCTTGCAGCCCTTACACATACAAACACAGATTCACACAATGCATTCCTTACACACATATCAGGACATCCCCTACACACTCCACCCCCTGTGAACAAACTCATTGGTGGAAATGAAGGTGGACCCTGGGACCCAGACCTTGAGCTGTGTAAAGGGCCCCCAAAAAATGGAGCTGCTTCTCGTTCTCCCAGAACATTGATTTTTGTGACCACAGTTACAACAGCCTCCAGAGATCCTGTTATACACCAGACCAGTGGAGCCAGACTGCAGCTAGATCCCATCATCATCCTCATCTGCCTGTAAGTAGGTAATCTAGTATATTATTCGTGGCACTAATCTCTAATTTACCTCACTGTTAAGACACCTCCCGTGTCTTTAAGCCAAACCGCCGTTTAGTAAACCTTCCCCGGCTGCAGTACAGTCTCTGTTCGCTTACTCTGTAACCCACGAACCAAATGCAGGGGAAGCGACAATCTCCCGATCGAAATCCACGAACGGCTCCAAACTCCCGAACGGCAATATACGAACTGCTAGGAACCGTCGAACAATAATATCCCCAAAGCGGCTTTCGTTCCATCCAGCAGTCTCTAACCGTGAAGAAGAAATCCCCCCAATAACGAGACAGAAGCTCCGCATTGAGGGTCAAATAAGATCTGGTTTTACTGTGGGCTACCTGCCCGTATTTATGCAGGTCTCCCACCTGGTGGACACTCCCCTAGGGGACCAAATGGAAGACTTAAATTACAGACAGATAGAAGGACATTTCTGACACACAGTCACATCTCTTACCCACAGTGCATTCTGATTCCCTCCCCTCTGTCCTGGAGTTAATTACCAAGTAACTCAATTAACTCCAGGACAAGGACAGTCGCCATTTTAAACATAAAATAATAAAAGACATAAAAATGCATAACTACATGAAAACTGAACATTTCCCATTCGTATTACATGTCCCCAGATAGCCTGGATCTGAGTGCATATTATTAGCGAATAGCGCTCAGATCCCACACACATAGTTCAATCGCCATGGAGTCAAAGTTCTTACAGTCTTTCGGTATACGAATGACTCCATGGGAGGGCTATCTGGGTTAAGTCTTTTGTATGCTCTCAATCTCCCGAACGGCCGGTGTTCGCATGCTTTCGTGGAGGCAGCCAGGCGTTCCCTTGTTTCAGCGGTGTTCGGCAGAAAAAGTGTCCGTTTTCAGTTCCATAGAAATAGAGCCAAACACCGCTGGGCGTTCGCATGATTTAAAATGGCCGCTGCCTCGTGGTCGACATACGAACGACGACCACCCTGAGTTCGGTTTAATTGAGAAGTGTCTGCGGTTAACCACAACGTTATAATGGTGATCACTTCGTTAACCTGCAGCACACTCCTCACTTGGGTGGCCGTTCGTTCGGCGGTTTTGTTCGGGAAAAAGAGTCATTCGAATGGCTGGGCTATAGAAACCAGCCATTCATACGAACGGGGACAAACAGACGAACGGGCAAAAATCCAGCAGACAGATGGTTCTGTCACACGGCTCCCTCCTTGTGGGACACTCCGGCAGACCCGGCTTGACCCTGTGGCGGGTCAACTTGGGGATGACCGGACTACGAGGTGATGGAAACGTCTGTTTGTCGTGACAACCCATCTGCATTTCCGTTTAGCTTACCGGGTCTGTAGCTGATAGTAAAATTGTAGGGCTGTAGTGCCAAGCTCCATCTCAGCAGTCTCCCATTGTCTCCTGAGACCCGGTTAAGCCAAACGAGTGGGTTGTGATCAGTCACAAGGGAAAACTCTTGCCCATACAAGTAGGGACTTAACTTTTTCAATGCCCAGACCAAAGCCAAACACTCCTTCTCCACTGCCGCATAACTCACTTCTCTGGGTAACAACTTTCTGCTGAGATATGCGACAGGGTGCTCTCCTCCATCTTCCCCGACTTGGCTCAGCACAGCCCCCAGTCCATACATGGAAGCATCTGTATGGACGAGAAAGCGTTTGTTAGGGACTGGGGCAGCCAAGACAGGGGCATTCACAAGAGCCTGCTTCAGTGCCTGGAACGCAGCTTCACAAGCCGGAGACCACAGGACCTGCTTAGGCAAGTTTTTCTTGGTCAGATCTGTCAGGGGCTTAGCGATAGCGCTGTAGTCAGGGACAAAGCGTCTGTAGTACCCTGCCGTCCCCAAGAAGGCCAATACCTGGGTCTTAGTAGTAGGTGTGGGCCAGTTAGCCACTGCCTCTACCTTGGCTGGCTCCGGTCTCTGGCTCCCACACCCCACTCTGTGACCCAGGTACTGTACTTCAGCCATACCTAGATGACACTTTTCTGGCTTCAATGTCAGGCCAGCGGCCCTAATCTTATCCAGCACTACCCCTACATGTACCAGGTGTTCCTCCCAGGACCCACTGTAGATCGCAATGTCGTCCAAGTATGCACAGGCAAATTCTTGGAAGCCATCCAGGAGTCTATCCACCATCCGTTGGAAGGTAGCCGGTGCATTTTTCATCCCAAAAGGCATGACCTTAAATTGGTACAGGCCAAATGGGGTGACAAATGCCTACTTGGGGATAGCATCCTCGGCCAGGGGGATCTGCCAGTAGCCCTTACACAGGTTTATGGTGGTCAGATATCGCCCCCTGGCAATACGATCTAGTAATTCGTCTACCCGGGGCATTGGGTAGGCGTCAGTGGTGGTCCGCTCGTTGAGTCGCCTGTAGTCCACACAGAACCGGGTGGTCCCATCTTTCTTTGGCACCAGGACTACAGGCGAGGCCCAAGGGCTGTCGGAGTGCTCGATAACCCCAAGTTGGGTCATCTCCTGTATCTCCTTCCGCATTCCTTCATGGACTGCTTCAGGGATACGGTAGGGGGGCTGTCGTAACGGGGTCTGTCCAGGGGTCTCTACCTTATGCACAGCTAGGGTGGTATAACCTGGTTCCTGGGAGAACGTCGCCTGCTTCTCCCATAACAACTGCTGCGCCTGTACCCTTTCTGTAGGGTTCAACCGGTCCCCTAGCTGTACAAGGGTAGTAAGGTCAGTCTGGGAATCCCTTTCTAATAGATCTGGAAGGGGTAAGTTCTCAGAATCTGGGGCACATACTGCTGCAATATCCTCAGGTCTCTCCTGGTACTCTTTCAGCATGTTCACATGAAAGGACCGCTGGATCCTCTCATCTGCACAGCTGGCTATCAAGTAAGTAGTGTCGCAGATCTGCGCCACTACCTTGTACGGGCCCTGCCAAGATGCCTGCATCTTGTTGGCCTTCACAGGTTTAAGCACCAATACTTTTTGCCCAACCTGGAAGACCCGCTGTCGGGCACCCTGATCGTACCATCTCTTCTGTCTCCCCTGGGCCGCCTGGAGATTCTCCCTTACCATCAGGGACAGTTTCTCCATGCGGTCCCGGAGTTCCAAAACATATGGTACTATGGGGATCCCTTCCTGCTCCGTCTCCCCCTCCCAGTGGCCTCTAATGAGATCTAGGGGTCCGCGGACCCTTCTCCCATACAGCAGCTCAAAGGGGGAGAACCCAGTAGATTCCTGGGGCACCTCTCTATAAGAAAATAATAGATGAGGCAGGAATCTCTCCCAGTCTCTGCAAGTGTCTGTAAAGGTCCTCAGCATCTGTTTGAGGGTACCGTTAAAGCGCTCGCAGAGACCGTTAGTCTGTGGGTGGTAGGGTGAGCTAAGTAACGGCTTAATGCCGCACACCTTCCACAGTTGCTGGGTGAGCACAGCGGTGAATTGGGTTCCCTGGTCGGAGAGGATCTCCTTAGGGAACCCGACCCTAGTAAAAATTCTAACCAGGGCATCAGCAACCGTCTCTGCCTCTATGTTAGACAGCGCTACTGCCTCTGGATAGCGGGTGGCATAGTCCACCACGGTAAGAACATACTTCTTACCGGATGGACTAGCCCTGGCCAGTGGACCCACAATGTCAACGGCTATGCGGGCAAAGGGCTCCCCTATAATAGGCATCGATAATAGCCTAGCCTTAGGGTGGTCCCCCCGCTTTCCTACCCGTTGACATGTGTCACACGTGCTGCAGTACATCCGCACAGCCTGGTTAAAGTTTGGCCAAAAGAAGTTCTGTGAAATCCTATAGGCTGTGCGGCGGGACCCTAGATGTCCAGCTAAAGGAACATCATGCCCTATCCGCAGAATCTCCTGCCGGTACTTTGCAGGTACCACTAACTGGCGATTCGGCGGAGTGGCAACACTCTTCTGGGAAGGTTTAGGGATCCTATACAACCTGTCCCCCACCCACTCATACCGTTCCCCATCTATTCCTTCCTCCCCAGCATCTGCCCTGTCCTTGTATCTTTGGAGGGTCGGATCTGCCCGGGTTTCCCTCCCAAACTCCTCTGGGGAATCCCAGCTTAAGGGAACCTGATCTGGGGTACCAGTCGGGGAAGGAGATCTTACCTGGGTCTCGTCAGCAAGTGGGCTGGTTCCGGCAGCACGGGTCTGGGCACGGGTGGTCACTGGGTTCACGTCTGCAGGGCCCATCGGAGCATAGGCTGAAACCAAAGGGGCCAAATCGTTTCCCAAAAGAACATCTGCGGGCAAGTCCTTCATCACCCCCACATCCACATGCCTAGCGCCCACTCCCCAATCCAAATGTACTCGGGCAACAGGTAAGCGAAACACGGCACCCCCTGCTACCCTTACTGCCACAGTGTCCCCAGTGTGCTGATGCTCTGAGACCAAGTTCTTTTGGAGCAGTGTCATCGTGGCTCCTGTGTCTCTCAGCCCATTCACCACTCTGCCATTCAGCTTCACAGTTTGCCGATGTTGCTGGCGATTATCCTGGTGAGCTGCTTGCACTGGGTCTGCCTCGTGTAGAATGCCCCAAAATTCCTCTTGCTCTAGGCAGTGAGCAGCAGGCTGAGGTGGGCGCTGGTTTCCATTAACTGGTCTCCTCCAGGACTGAGCCTGGTTGGCACTGTTCAGTGGGCACTCAGGACGCTTGTGCCCCAACTGCTTGCACCCATAGCACCGGATGGGTTGGGAGTACTCCCGGGCATTAAATCGGGCTGGTTGCATATAATTGTTAGCTGGTGGTGCGGCTGGGGTACGGTGTACTGGGGGTTGGTAGACTGCAGGAGCGGGTGTTACTGCTGGTCGATACTCCAGTCTGGCAGGGGCTTTAGCAGCTGTACCATCCAACTTGCGGGCATCCGTGTATTCGTCTGCCAGACGGGCAGCCTCGGGTAGGGTAGAGGGTTTTCTGTCTCTGACCCATTCCCGGACCCCAGCAGGTAGTCTATCAAAGCAGTGCTCCAGTAGGAACACTTGTAACACCTCCTCCCCAGTTACCGCTTGGCATCCAGCCATCCAGTGGGCTGCGGTACGATGGACTCTGCAGGCCCATTCCACATAAGAGTCCCCAACCAGCTTGTTGGTTTCTCTAAACCTCCGCCTGTACGCCTCTGGGGTCACTGCATACCTGGCTAGGAGCGCCTCTTTCACAGCCCGGTAGCTGGTGATCTCCTCCTCTGGGATGGCCCGAAAAGCTTCACTAGCCCGGCCAGATAATTTCCCAGAGAGGATGGTGACCCATTCATCTGCAGGTACCTGATGTAGCGCACACTGCCTCTCAAAGTCTGCCAAAAATCCATCAATCTCTCCCTCTGTTTCCACAAAATTTTTAAATGCAGCAAAAGGTACCTTCTTTCTGGCAACCACATTATTGTCATACGGTACCTCTGCTGCTGCAGCTCCTCTTTCCCGGGCAGCCTGTTGTGCTGCAACTGCTGCCTGCACACGAACCACGATGTCAGCTGAAGGGTTGGGGCCAAAATGTGCCAGCCTTATTTGTACTGCCCGGTTGAATTGTATTTCCTCGGGTGTTAAATCCAAGGTACTGGGCACGTTGACTCTTTCCATTCCCGTTGCTGCATCCATCTCCATTAGCAAAGCAATAATCTCCCGTTTCTTTAAATTGCTTGCTGACCTTCCTCGGCGTTCCAATATGTCCTTAAGTGTAGCACGCCTTAATTCCTCGTACTGCATGTCTCGTAGCTGACCTCCAATGCTGTAGGATTCATCCCGTCGCTTGCCACCAATTGTTAAGACACCTCCCGTGTCTTTAAGCCAAACCGCCGTTTAGTAAACCTTCCCCGGCTGCAGTACAGTCTCTGTTCGCTTACTCTGTAACCCACGAACCAAATGCAGGGGAAGCGGCAATCTCCCGATCGAAATCCACGAACGGCTCCAAACTCCCGAACGGCAATATACGAACTGCTAGGAACCGTCGAACAATAATATCCCCAAAGCGGCTTTCGTTCCATCCAGCAGTCTCTAACCGTGAAGAAGAAATCCCCCCAATAACGAGACAGAAGCTCCGCATTGAGGGTCAAATAAGATCTGGTTTTACTGTGGGCTACCTGCCCGTATTTATGCAGGTCTCCCACCTGGTGGACACTCCCCTAGGGGACCAAATGGAAGACTTAAATTACAGACAGATAGAAGGACATTTCTGACACACAGTCACATCTCTTACCCACAGTGCATTCTGATTCCCTCCCCTCTGTCCTGGAGTTAATTACCAAGTAACTCAATTAACTCCAGGACAAGGACAGTTGCCATTTTAAACATAAAATAATAAAAGACATAAAAATGCATAACTACATGAAAACTGAACATTTCCCATTCGTATTACATGTCCCCAGATAGCCTGGATCTGAGTGCATATTATTGGCGAATAGCGCTCAGATCCCACACACATAGTTCAATCGCCATGGAGTCAAAGTTTTTACAGTCTTTCGGTATACGAATGACTCCATGGGAGGGCTATCTGGGTTAAGTCTTTTGTATGCTCTCAATCTCCCAAACGGCCGGTGTTCGCATGCTTTTGTGGAGGCAGCCAGGCGTTCCCTTGTTTCAGCGGTGTTCGGCAGAAAAAGTGTCCGTTTTCAGTTCCATAGAAATAGAGCCAAACACCGCTGGGCGTTCGCATGATTTAAAATGGCCGCTGCCTCGTGGTCGACATACGAACGACGACCACCCTGAGTTCGGTTTAATTGAGAAGTGTCTGCGGTTAACCACAACGTTATAATGGTGATCACTTCGTTAACCTGCAGCACACTCCTCACTTGGGTGGCCGTTCGTTCGGCGGTTTTGTTCGGGAAAAAGAGTCATTCGAATGGCTGGGCTATAGAAACCAGCCATTCATACGAACGGGGACAAACAGACGAACGGGCAAAAATCCAGCAGACAGATGGTTCTGTCACACTCACATTAAAGAAACACTATAGTCCCCAGAACCACTGCAGCTTAATGTAGTGGTCCTGGTGTCTATAGCCTGTCCCTGCAGGCCTTTTAATGTAAACACAGCGGCACTGCAGCACTAGCGTTAGTTAACATGGCAGGTCATATGGGTGGGGCATTGTGATGTCAATCAATACCTGACAATTCTCATTTTTTGTGAATAGCCCTGCATATTTCAATATTAAAGGAACTATAGACACCAGTACAACTACAGCTTATTGTATTTGTTCTGGTGAGTAGAATCATTCCCTTCAGGCTTTTTGCAGTAAACACTGTCTTTTCAGAGAAAATGCAGTGTTTACATTACAGCCTAGTGATAACTCCACTGGCCAATCCTCAGATTGCTGCTAAAGCTGCTTCCTTGGGCAGTGCTGCAGAGTAAGCATCACTGCCCTTCTTTGTCTACACCCTCTGCATGGAGACACTGAACTTTCCTCATAGAGATGCATTAATTCAATGCATCTCTATGAAGAGATGCTGATTGTCCAGAGTTGTGTTTGGTTTGTGCTGCCCCTGATCTGCCCCAGTCTTTCCTATGGGAAAGCATTGGCTAAGATCAACACTTCTGATTGTGTCAGCCAAGCGGATAGATCAGGGGTAGAGCCAGCAGGAGCAGACTGGAATAAAAGTAAGATTTTACTATATTTAGGGAGGCGAGGGGGGATTGGTAGTGTTTTCAACACTATAGGGTCAGGATTACATGTTTGTGTTCATGATCCTATAGTGTTCCTTTAAGGAAAAAAACAAGTTTGAAAAATAGCAGAATGTGAAATGCTTGTCAGTTCACTATTTAGGCAAAGGTTTTGCAATACAACCACAAATCACTGTCTAGTGACTAAACCGCTATAATAAATGACTCCAAAACTCCAAGAGGAGATACAAGATGGCAAACTTAAAGATTCCATTAGACAAGGCAAAGAACCATAGCTTCAAATAGAAAGTAAGAGCAAAACATAAGATCCTGCAATACATAACATGAAAATGCCACATATAAAACAGAACTTGTGAAAACAAATTGAACTAGAAAGTCCAGTATATGTGTGAACTTAAAATCTATGATTGCCACCCAAAAACATTACTAGATCCTAAATGTAATACATCACTCTATCATTAAATAAATACTCAAAGTAGGGACCAGAACTCCTCCTCATTTCAACCTATTTTGTAGCCCATGGAGCAGTGCAGCTAAGGAGAATAAGTCTTGACATTGCTAGGAGACAGGCATAGAACAGGGGTATGTATGGATTGGCTGTATGGATATTGGGGGTGGGATTTTGGGTAAGGGGAGTATATATAGGGGCCATTTTAGACTTAGGGGCCATCTTGCTTAATCTGTACTTACCTGTTGTTGTCCCACCCTCCCTCACTTTTATGGTATAGCTCTCACTTGGTCACAGCGGTGGGAGATGGATAGAAAAGTTGGGGGGAAGGTGATTTGTTCATAGGTAGAATAGTTTTGGTTCACTAAGAACAGTTAGGTTTGGAATGGTATTGGTAGGTTTGCGCTTGTTGGTAATTCCGAACCTGGTATGTGTAGGGTGTATCTTGGTATGCCCCTACATTGTGAAAGCTGTAAAATCACACCCTCGGTGGCAATGGGGTATGTTTATTTATTTATATGTTATAGGTGGTATCATTGATTGTTATGTGGATCATTGTCGGGGTAGCGATGTTAAAGGAATGGGAGTTAGCATTGTATTATGTATTGTGTTGACAATGACCTAATTTTATATGTTTATCTTTATATCATTAAAACTGTAATAATAATTTTCCCAATACAAGATGTCTGAGAATTTTGGGGAGTATGGGGTAGATTAAGCACATGCCAAAAGGGGACTATGCATATGTCATGTCATTATTATCTTTATGAAGTGAGATGTTGATGTTGTTTTTATTGGTATGCGATCACTAGTCAAAACCTTTATTGAAAAGTTCATGCTCTATAACAAAATTGAAATAACCACCTGGGAATTTCTTTATGAATCTGTTACAAAAAAACAAAAAAAACAACATTTTCTCAATAACATGAGTTGTTTTTAATATCTTCTGATTCATTTCTTTTTTACCACGGAGCCTGTGCCAGTTAACATATTTTCTTGAAATGTGAAAATAAACAAATTCAGATTTAGCATAGATTTACAAATAGTTTAACAAATTCAGTGACATTTAAAGACTATTACATGATTTGTTTTGGCTTTTTTTTTAATATAAAGTTTATCATTTCTGGCCTTTTAATTTATTTCTGCTGAAACATTTTTACCAGACATCTGCCACCGAGGTCTAGAGTGTCTGATCTATTTTGAATCAAATGAAAAACATGTTCATCTTGCATAAAATTGTGATACGGTTTCATTTTGCTTTTTTCTATCATAAGTTATATATATAGATGTTTTTTATAATGTATGTATTTATGTAATAAAGTAAAACAAATCAATAGTGTTATTCATTTGTAAACCAGAGCAAATTGCCATAGAAGCATCTTTCTTCTGATCCATTTCTTACATGGAAAGCCAACACACTTATTGGATTTAATTGAGTGCTCAAGAAATACCTTTCTCAATTTGAGAACTTTATTTACATGCAGTATTGTAACACTTAAATAGAATAAAAAAACTCTATGGAGGGTGGCAATCAAAGCACCGTAATGTAAGATCCTTAATATTATTACATACCATCTAGGTTGGGAGGTATGGAATAAGGCCCTGAGGAAAGGAGTTGTCAGAGATGTGTGTCACGTCACAGATGGCGCCCATAATTGACAGGTCACAATGGATACAGAATGAGCCCACCCTCAGAAGAGGTAAGTCTGTTTAATGCCAAGCCACCTGATAGCCTCTTTGGTCACTACAG